GTGACAGGATAGAATTCTGTGTGCTTAATGGCTAGCTCACTCGATAATCAATAAAAAGCTTAAAAAGGAACATTGGAATGAGTGACTGGACTACATAGCAAGATCATCTGTAGCCCATTTTAATATTTGGTATAACAGTGCACGCTATCAGTTTATTTTGAGCTGCTTGTATTATAATAGAAGAGCAAAAGCAAAATATAAACATACCCTCAATAAAAGGAATTCTGGTTTTACAAAGTCCAACAAATACATTGTGTCTGGAGCACAAAGCCAATCAGCAATTGACCTAAGAAAAAATAACATAAAAGCAGAGTTGTAAATTAAAATGGCTTGCTTAATGAAGCATGGGGACATGCTTCAACTCATCTTAAATGGCTAAGTTTGCTATAGTTATATATATTTAATCTCCCAGATCTGCTACTCTGGTTAATGTGATCCCTGCACTTTAAGAAAGATACAATGGGGTCAGTGCTTCTTGCTCGGCCTAAATTGCAAATATATTTATATTTACTGAATGCTATAACCTCCAACATTCATACATTAAACTATCATTTTAATGAAAATGCAGCAGTAGTACAAATAGTATCTGGATACTAGTATAAAATAAACAGTGAAAATGCTATATAAATGAATGGTCTAGTGAATTTCTGTATTGCACCTATCACCCTCTACAGCTTCCACATGATTCCAGGAAAAAAGATTGCTACTTTAAAAAGTTCCAGACAGTGCTGGAGCTCCAGCAGGCTCTGAAGCAGATTTGTGAAACTGAATCCAACCAACGCAGAGCCCAAAAAGCTACCATTCTGATTTAAAGCTAACTAGGGCTAGGAACAATTAGACTGCTTGGGAAGAGTAACATGACTTTTTTTCCCCTAAGACACAAAAGTTTGTACTATTATAGCTTGCTGTGGTCTGACTAAACACAAGACTGGATTGATCCTGTGATCCTAAGTGTGCCATATATTTAACCATAACTCCTAGCCTCATACCTGTTGTTGGTCTTGAGATAGATCATGGCTAATGCCAAAGTTGCACCTGGGCAAGTCACATCCACATTTATAGTATCTCCTTCCTATAAATAAAACATACATTCAATTTAAGTCCTACAGTGATGGGTACTGCAGACATCTATGGATGAGGGAGACATTCATTTAGTTCATTGTGAACTAATTTACACTTCCTAATTCAATATGGGAACCAAAGTACAAATATTCTTTACTTTTCCATAAAGTTTATAAATCAGTTCTCCAGTCAAAATTACATACAAATATGTGTGTTTTACTGTAATTAGGAAAGTGCTTGCAAAAATGTGTGTAATGGAACACTGCATTCAAAAATAAGTAACTTGTAACATGTTTTTGCCTTTTTTAAAAACCACAATTTGATGAATAAATAAGGTAGTGTCAGCCCTTTGAGGTGGACCAGACTTGAACACCAAAGTCATGAATACTAAAACTAATTTTATTGTAGGGTTACGGTAACAGAATCTTGCAACACTGAACATGCCTCCCTGCCCTCTGCCTTTATCCTGAAGAGAACTAAGGAGGGTCAGGTCTGAGACACTTTCTCAAATTCCATTCCGGCTTTGGACTCTGATTTCTCTTATCTGACCATTGCCTTGGCTGCGGCTCTTCCTCCTGTTCCTCGAGGTTATTCTCACAGCCCGTTACAGGTAGAATGTACCAACACTTTAAAAACAAGGAATGTTTCAAGGTATTTGAGGAAGTTCCATACCTGAAATAAAACATATCTGAGCCTCACAAGTAGTAATGTGGATGATCCAATGAAACTGCTTTGTGCCATGTGTAGATAAATAAAGGCTATAACTAACAAAAAGGTGAATGGGACAAACACCAGAAATGCACAAAGAATTTTCTTTCCCCATGCTACCGCATCTGGAGTGTTGGTATCAGGTGATGTAGATAATACTTAGGTATATAGACCAATAGTCTGATTCTCTTAAGGCACAATTTTGGAAAACTAAAAACATCACCTTAATTTGATAACTTGGAGATTTGTGTTTTTCACGGTGCATTCCAGCTTGAAAACGCCGGTGGCCACCAACCATATATTGGTAGAGCTGCTCAGGCACATTCAGGTCTGACATGCCTATCAAATTGCTGCCATGCTAAGAGAGAAACCAACAGTATTAAGCATTCTATTGACATTCTGTAATTGGACATAATCTGAACCAACCCAATTCATATATTTGCAGGGAAACTGAAATATACAACTCAGCAAAGAGTTCTTTGCAGTTTCCGAATGAAAATACTGCAAACAATTTGGCATGACATAAAAATTTAGAGAAAAAAAGCACACTTACCCCAAGACAAACCATGCCCAAAGCTAAGCCAGCAGCCAGTGAATAGGACTCTCTGTCAGTGCAATATTCCATTTCAGGACCTGGGGGGCGCCCTGAACAAATATATAAATAAATCCAACTATTAATCAACTTTTAAAATTAGCAAGCTAACATTCCATTTTTATTCAATATATCTGAACTATTTTTACTATTAAAAAGCTTAGACACAACTGGTGTTGTTCAGATGTGTTAGCCATTATCACTTTTCACATTTCAACACCTTTTAAAAGATAACTGAAACACGCCAACATCTCTTTCAAAATCTAGATGAAATGGGGGAATCTTGGATTTTTATGCAAAATAATTTGCACCAAATTAAAAAAAGAAACAGTTACAAATAAATCAAAACTGATGCCAATTTTGATCAGTCACCTATATTGTTAAGCCATATCAAGATCCATGTAACACAATGTGCATTACAAAACACAAACCAAGACATTTAGCTTTGGATGCAATCCTATGTGTCTTTACTTGGGAGTAAACTTTGCTGAACATAGACTTACTTTCAAGTAAATATTATAGTACATTTTAATCAATAGGACTAAGCTATGTGTAAACATAAGTTACTATCTAATTTAAATTATCAGTAAACCAAGCTATAAGAACTTCTCAACCCAATGAAAAGAGGGCTTCTTTAAAAGAGGGACAGGAATATAAATTGTCTTCCTATATGAAACAAAAGAAACATTCAATCCAAAATCTCTGGACTATAACCAGGTGTTCTAAATTAACCACTTGGACATCAGTATGTTTTACCATCAAAACTATTAAAAAATCAATTAAGCTAGCTAATCTATCCTTTTAAACGAAGTCAGTTAGGTATAGCTCTGGAACTACATATAGGATGCCTGACGGTTTCTTTTTCTTTTTTTAAATAATAATTTTTATTAAAGTTTAAAAATACAAAGACAAAAAACTAATACAAACTAGGAAAAATATAAAAAGTAAAAATAAGAGAAAAGAGAAAAAAATATATATAAAGAAATGACTTCCCCCTTCATCAAGACAAGTACAATTTCAGTAACTCATCACTTTCTCTAACATTTCAACCAAAGATCTTCCCATATCTCATCTCTTATCTATAAACAAATTATAAAACCTTCTCATTCAATCTTAATCAGCAAAAGTCCATTAACCGTTACCAGAAATAACAATGTATATATTTTAACCTTAGTCAAATAAGTTTCATATTCCTTTCCTTTCCTTTTAACACAGTAACTGATCATTTTCTCTAAAAATACAATAAAAAAATTATTCTTCCCATATCTTATCTCTTATTATAAACAAATCTTTAAAGCCTCATCATTCAAATTTAGTAAAAAAATCCATTAAAAGGTACCAGAAACAACATATTAAAAATCTTAACCTTTAATCCCTTCAAATAGTACCCCAAAAGTTAATTTCTTATCATTTTCTCTTTGTCTCCTCTCAAGTTTAACACATATTAGCAATAACAGCATCCATATTTTAACAAAAAAATCTCTTCTTCCATTTTGGAAGTGTTGAACAGAGATATTTGAGAAGATGAGAATGTAATGCGTTGGAAAATTTAAAAAGAGGCTTATAAATTGAGGGCTTTAGCTGATGCTTTAGTTTTGATTTTACAAGAGCCTCTGAATGGTATTGAACATTTAATGAAGAAACTGAAAGACTTTGATGCACTAGCTGATTTTAAAGTAAACAAACAAAAAACAAAGATGTTGGTTAAAAGCATGAGTCCACAAGACCAAGAGGCTTTGATGAAAAAAAAAACTGGTTTCAAAATTGAGAAAAAGGTTAAATATTTAGAAGTCACACTGACTAATATGAATTGTATCTTGTTTCAGAATAACTATGTTAAGGTGTGGAATGATATTAAAAAAGACTTATTGTGATGGGACAAATTACAACTATCACTACTGAGTAGAATTTCAGTAATCAAGATGAATGTTTTACCTAGGATGTTATTCTTATTTCAGACAACACCAGTGTTGACAACTGATGTACCATTTAAACAATGGCAAAAAAACATTTCTAAGTTTGTATGGCAAGGTAAAAAACCAAGAATTAAATATAAATTGTTAGAAGATGCCAAAGAAAGAGGTAGGCTAGGACTTCCTGATTTAAAATTGTATTTTGATGCTTGTTGTTTGGTATAGATGAAAGATTGGGTGACTTTGAGAAACAGGAGGTTATTGGCATTAGAAGGACATGACCTAAGATTTGGGTGGCATGGTTATCGATGATGACAAAGTGAAGGTTAATATTGACTTTAACAATCATTTTATTAGGCATGCCATATTGAGAGTTTGGAACAGATATAAAGCAATGGCCAATGGGAGTGGAGTAAAGGATTGAAGTTTACACTTAATTACAATCTGAAAGAGAATTTTTACAAGATGATGCATTGTTGGTATTTAACACCAGATAAATTGTCAAAGATGTATAAGAGAGTGTCAAATGTATGCTGGAAATATAATTGATGTGAAGGCACTTTTTATCGTCTTTGGTGGATTTGTAAGAAAACTAAGAAATACTGGGATTGGATAAGTGCTTTAATACAGAGAATTCTAAAAATGGATGTACAATTGAAACCAGAGGTTTTCCTTTTAGGTATGACAGACAAACAGATCAACTTTATTCTTTTATATGTTAACAGCAGCAAAACTCTTATATGCGCAGAAATGGAAGGACCCACAAATACCTACAATTGAAGAATGGATGGTGAAGTTGATGGAGTTGGCAGAGATGGGGAAACTGACTATTTTGATTAAAGAAAAGACTTCGTTTAGCTTTGTTTCTACTTGGAAACCACTTTTGGACTTTTTGCTTGAAACTGAGAGAAATGAAACTTTAATTCTGGGATTTGATGATTAAACTATTTATGATTATAGAAGTGCACTATAAACTGTGTACTAGTTTAAATTTTAGAGTAAGATGTGAATGTATTATATGTTTGTATCTGTACCAAAGAAACTCAGAAGCTACCTTTTTTCTCTTTTTTCTTTTCTGCACTTTAATTTCATTCTTTTTCTGATCTCTCTTTTTTCAATTCTTTTTTTCTGTTTCCTTATATTTTATCTTTTGCTGAAATTTAATAAAGTTCTTATTAAAAAAAATTCTTCCCATATCTTATCTATAAACAAATCTTTAATGCCTCGTCATTCAGTCCTAGTGAAGAAAAACCCATTAAGAGCGACTAGAAAGAACATCATATATACTTTTTAACCCTGATTGGATAAGCCAACTTTATATTCCTTAATTTTGCTTTTAAAAATCTTGATGTTTATTCCCTTTAAATAGTGTCCCAAAAGCTGATTTCATTTTCTTTTTGTCTTTTCTCAGGAACTCCTTCATAAGTATAACACATCTCTTTTGTAAGTACAACATAAGAAAGTTGTCAAAGTGAATCTTCTGATTTATTATTTGTGTATCCCTTTTAGGTCTTGAGAAATCAGCCAGTTTCATTTGTAAGTCCTGTGTAACATCATTTTCCATATCATTCTTGTATCTTGTCATTTTTAAATCCATATCCAAAACAGCCTGGTTCTCAGTTGTATCCTCTTCTATCTCTTCTTTTAAACCCATTTTTATAGTAGCAGACACTGAGTGCATTGTTGTCAAATATCCTTGAATTCTTCCAAAGTTAAAATATTTTTCTCCATTCTGTATTAGTGGGACTCTTCTCCTTTAATTATAATCTTTAGCTGTTTCTGGTTGCCTCTAGTGTCCAGCCTTCAAAGTCTCCTCTTATCAAGTTTTTCTCTAATCCATATCATTTTCCCATGGGAGGGTTTCATACACTTAGATTCAAAATCTTCATATATTTTTATTAGGATTTTAAACAATCCACAGGAAGTATTCTTATAATTAGTTTCAAAATCTTATTTCCAATCCATCTGGCCCCTTAGTCCATTTAAAACTTTCCAAAATTAATGTTCTAATCTTTTGCTGTTTATTTCAGAATTTTAAAAAATTAAGCTTACATATAACTTCTTTTGCTAAGGATTGGAGGAGAATCACCCAGTGTGATAAAACTTGTTATTCTGAAGTTTCTTAATTTCCAAAAGGCAGTTAACAAGCAATTTACTGGAGTGATTAAGAGAGGAAGTTGGTGAACCCATTGTCCATTTGAAGGTTCCGAACCATGGCTTAGGCAAAACTGACTTTCCCTTGGCTCCCAGAGCTCTAAAACCCGCCGGAGATCACTGTTTTATGGTTGTCTCACGGGGAGCATCCCTGTGGAGCACTTATGGGAGATTCCAGGTCATCCCCTTTATCCAGGGAGGAATTTTGAGGTGCTGATCTGTTTGCCACTCCTTGTTTTACCATGGTTGTTGGCTTCACAAAAAACAAAGCTGTCTTCGGTCCACTATTGCTTCCCCAGAAGTCAGGATGCTTGAAGGTTTCAAGAGCTGCCCACTTCAGGACCACTGAAATTAAACTCATAATACAAATTGACCAGAGGGCTCATCTATCAGATACTAACATGAGGAATATATAGAACTGTAGGATAGTTGACAAAAGTAAGTATAAGATGGATAGAGGCAACAGTGTAAAATTAAGAACAAGCAGGGAAAAGTACTAAGAACTGATGAAGAGGAAAGAAAAACAGTGGAAATAGAAGCAGCAGCTGGGATGGAGCAAGTTAAGCATGCACCTCAGCAACCTGAAGGGTTTTCCTTGCCTTAGCATATATGATCATCTTTACTTTGTAAGATAATAGCGCTTAAATCATTCATATCACACTTCCTTGTATAGATATAATCCCAACCTGCTTCCTCCTTACCTATTTCTGACAAGAGAACTTCAGCAGTGTGCCTATGAGCCGTCCCTTGGTATACCAAGCCTATTCCTATCACAGCCGCCACTTGCACATTATGAGGAACATCCAGCTCAGTGGAAGTTGGAGGCAAAAGAGCTGGTATGTGGATGCTGAGCAGCCGAGTGATAGACATATCCATTGTGCCCAACTTGGCAGCAGACACTCCTAGCAGCAGCCCAATGCTCATCATCTCATGACCCTGCCATTAAGAAAAAAAGCATCTTGATCAGAAGTATTTTCACTTGGAATGAATCCAAGGCATTACAGGTAATCCTCATTTAGCGACTGCCTCAGTTACTGACCATTCACAGTTACAATGGTGATGAAAAAGTAACTTTACAACCAATCCTCACATTTACGACCTTCACAGGTCTGTAAAGCAATCCTTGCAGGAAAGCTGAAGTAAGATCATAACAAAGTCGTGGTTTCACTTAGCAACCACTTCAATTAATGACCAAGTTGCCAGTCCCAATTGTGGTCACTAAATGAGGACTACCTGTACCCAGAAGCACACACATACCATACGCTTGAAATTAAAACTCACTGCAAAATGTTTATTAACTTCTAAAACTAATATATTATTAGGAGCAATGGGAAACCTTCTGCTCATGTAAGGTGACACATCTATACCTCTCTGTTGAAACAACTGCGGTTCTTTGAGTTATATATGTATGAACCAGAAATCTCTCCTGAGATTTCTGGTTCATACAGATATAACTCAAAGATTTGAGATCTTTGATCTCAGGAGAGATTTCTGATGGGGAAAGACCACAATGGAGAGGAGGGGATCCACAAAAATCAGATACCCTATCTTGTCTGAAGAGAAGTACTTTTACTATTACAAGCCACCACTGGAAATAACCCAAGAGCTTATTTTACAGGTTAGTGACGTGGTTCTTAAACTGCGTTGCAGCACCCCAGGGTATGGAGGACATTTTAAATTTTTGAGGGAAACACAGCAATACTCAACATCTGTCAGAAAGTGTGGAATCATTACCAAAACACTAAGGATACCATGAACCAAGAAAGTCTGGGAATTTCTGGTTTAGTGCAACGTCTGAACTGAAGGATCACTGCTACATGTTTGAAAATTAATACAGTATTCAGGTTGCAAACTGGTTAGCAAAAATAGTGGTTGCTATGACATCTGAACATCAGCCACAAATATAAAAAAGGGGACGCGGTGGCGCAAGGGCTTGATGATGCGGGAATTGCCGGTCAGAAATGATTGGCTCTCCAGCGGTTCGAGCCCAGCTCCGTGGGACAGGGTGAGCTCCT